AAGAGGCATAAATGAGTCTGTAACAGCTGTCACAGCAGTTGTTACAGCCAGCCAAATCCTGTGAACGCTTCCCATTCCCATTCAGTGAGCAACCCCCGAGATCAAGACCAAGCCACAAGCAACAGCATCTCTTGAGCGCCGAACACCACCTTCAGGAAGGTTCTCAGTGGGGGAGGAAGGAGTAAGAAAATAGCAGCAGAGTCACACACAACCCCCAAAAAACTTAAAATTGATATGACATAGAGATGTTATTCTGATTGTTTCTTAAAAGCCTGAATGAAATAAGCTAATTTGCAATGGAGGTGGGAATTGTTTTAATCAGGCAAAGATGTGTGTGCACAGGTAAATGGGAGGATGACATTAACATTGCTTCGCAAAAAATATTTTCATTGAAATATTAACATCACTGTCCACACTTAAGAGATTATACTGTAAAATGAGCAGATCTTAAAAAGAGCAGATTTTTTGGATAATATTGCTTCATGTGTTGGAGAGGAGAAAGCGAGTAACTATCCTCATTCTTTCAGAGCCACTATTTTTTGTAGGATGGCTAGCCATGCCATCATTAATATCACAAAAGGATTCATGTTTGTTTATTCTAAAATGAATGTAAACTGGACTTCATACCTAATACCTTAAAGCCGTGCTGAAACACAAGGAAGTCTGTTATCTTTATACTATGTATTTTAGGATTTTTTTTCTCCCAGCTCCAGCAGAAGACTGACAGTTTATAATGCAGCAGTGCAACTGCCTCATTTGCACATTTACAGTGCTTGATAAGGGGTTGAAATGCTTGATTCCCCAGAGGTCCTCCTTGTTCTTTCCCCAACAGAAAATGTCTCCCTATATTTCAACACAGCTGTGACAAATTTTTCTAAGTAACAAATATGTAGCCTTTAGATAATGCCTTTCATGCAGACGAATGTACAAACACTTTACACAGGGCTCATGCAAATCATTTCATTACATGCCAGGCAGCACAGAGCAGAACCTGGAAGCAGAAGTGGAGCAGCCTGTTCCACATGGGACGGACCTCCTGCCCGTGGCCCTGGGACCCGACTCATCCCTATGCACCATTTCTTTCATCAAACGCATCTTAAAGTGAAAAAAATCAAGACAGAATTGCTGAAACCCCTCAAAGTTTCCCTAAGCCATACTGGACAGACATCCAAATGCATTCAAATATAATGCCAAAATCCATATCGCTTTTGCTCAGGAAATGAGGTAATGCCTTTGACCACTAAGTCATGCACACTTTTTTTTATGTCAAAAGCACGGTCTAAAATCTGACTTTTAACAGTAGCCATATCACCTATCCCCATTTATAGCATTACTGTTGATTGTGCCACAGCACATTTGTTATAAAATTCTTCAGGAATAATGACAATAAAACCAAGAAAATTACTCCTCCAAGCACCAGCGTTGGGTTATTTTTTAAAGAACAGATTTGATTGAAAGGTAAAGATTAGCTTTAAATTCTTCCACCCCTTCTTTTATTTGAATATGAAAAGAAGGTGTAATACAGATGCTTACCTTGATATGACATTAAAAGACAGTTTGGGTCAATATAATTACTGTAGAACAGCAGATTTTTTTTAAAAATCCTTAAATATTTGTACTTACTGATTTTACCCTTCAGATGCATTCTAGCATTCTGGGGTAATCAGCTAAGTCCAAACCACAGATGCAGAAGTAACTATTAGACAGTCCCTCCCTTATACTCCCTGTATACTATGCATAAAATATCATAGGTTAATCCCCCCCAAAACAAGAAAAAATGTATTTCTGCAACAATATTTTAGAACGTAACTATGTGAGTCAAAGTGACCCCCCAGAAGAGCTTGACAGCAGGTTTATGGACATGTTGTAAATGTCAGACTACACCATTTTTAATAAAAAAAGACACTATAATACTGTTTCCTTGTAACCAGGACAGAAAATCATTTGGTAGGAGTAAGAACATTTATTGGTTTTGACATAAAAATTTCTTGCTGTGAGGTGGAAATGCTGTATTCCAAATACCAGAAGAAACGTGAAATCTCAAGGGTTATGTTCAGTAACTCTTGGTTCAAAAGCAGACGCGGCAGGTGCATTATTTAAGAACTTGTCAGAGATGATCTTCTATAGCACACTACTCCAGGATCCATCTCCTGCTATGCCTGGGAAGGGGATTCTCATGTAAATACATGGCAGAAATGGCTGGCTGCACATCAAGGCCATACTGCCCAACCCTCTTCCAACACCACTGTGGTCACTACAAAATGTTAGTATCAGAAAAGGTCTTCAGTACTGAATGCAACTCCCACATACCCCATGTAAGACCAGTTCTTTGGCTGAGCTCCTCAGAGTGCATTTACTCTGAAAAATTCAAAGCGACATTTTTCTCAGTAGCCATACTTTATGTTCTAAAGTGTATTTTGTATTGCTGTATTCAGTGCTAATTTGGTGCCACAAAGACATAGTATATTCAATGCAAATCAGAAACAGTTGCAGCCCAAGCTACTGCTTTGAATTTCCTGACTCCTGCACATACAAAAACTTCAGCATATTTTATTTAAATTTTTTTTTTTTTTTACTTTTCATTTTTTCAGAGCATAAATCCTTGAGTAGAAGCTAGTCACATCAGGATTTCAGCAGGGATGATCACAAATAAACATGCCAGTAGAAAAACAGAAAGAGGCTCAAAGGACCAAACTGTTAAAAAACAAAACAAAACAACCCAATCCAAACAGGTTGATTGGGTCCTCTATGCCTATAGCAGTGAGCTAGACTTTCAGCTGTGTAAGCCATCGGAGCACTGCTGTCTTCAGCACAGATGAGCTCATTTGTGCAAAGGATCTGACTGACCTGTGTTTCTATAGAAGATACTCCATGCATACGTAGACCTGCACAGCTACCTCCCTGTTTCTCTCACACAGCCATCAACATTTCAGGAAGAAGGAATTTCCCATGTGTTTTGGGTGCCAGAGTAAAAACAAACACAAAATCCATTTTGAACTATTCCAGTACAGGCTTAAAAGTCCCTCATACAGGAAAATCACAGCCGGTAAAATGTATTGTGTTTTTCTTTTTTACTAACTGAGTAGCTTAAAAAGAAATAGGAGAGAAAAATCACTTTTGGCTAAGAACGAACAGGAGAAATATAATTTAAAATTGCGTATTTTTAGAAAACAGTATTTTGAGGGAAAGTGCTGCCCTTAAACATGTCTATACTGGCCAGTCAGAAAGGATACAAAAATTAGAAAGAAATGGCTTTCCTAATGTATCATTGCACTAAATATCTGAGAGGTGAAGAAGAATACAGAGAAAGCAATGGTTGTACCTTGAGTATGGAGTATGCTGGCCACATATTTGTGGCACAGAAAACATCTGTAACAAAACATTTTGCACAAAATTGTGCTCTGCAGTGGTGAGAGAACCTAAAGAATGAAAAAGGAAGGTGACCCTATGTATGCTTAACTGAAAAACAAAAAGTAGCTCTGTACCATCTCTCACTTTCACTGAACCCTGAAGGGGAAAAAAATTAGGATGATTACATATTTAACTGCAGTAATCCTGGATTAAAGCATTTAATTCCTAGACTGTTTACAAGCCATCAATACAAACATAAATAAGCAGATATATGGCAGGCTGCTTCAAAAGTATATTAGTTCACTGACAAAACTAGCTCTGGTATAAATTCAGGAGTATGCAATGTTTTATTCTTTTTAAAGGAATGCTTTATCTTAGCGGTTTTAAGTAATTTCTTATGCCTGAACTACTACATAAAAATATAACATCCTCTGCAAACATTAAGTAATGGTTTCTCTTTTGTTAGCTAATGGAGTACACCCTAGCCTTTTAAATTTTTGAATGCCTTTGAAAAGAAAAGGTGTCTCTAATGTAATATTTATAACAGGTAAATTGTATCTCTTCAGACAAGAGTAACAATTAACAGAAAGCATCTGTACCATGTTTATCTTTTGAAGCATTATTGTACTAAGTAGCACAGAACCTCAATGTGAGTGAAAACTTACATTATTCTGGGGGACATCTGGAAAACTCTTCACTGTTAACTCTAAAGAAACTGATAACTCTGAGGGAAACTTGCCTTTACACTCTCCTCCATCAGCAACTATCACCCAGTCACTCACAATACAGGTAAATGACCTCATCAGCCTAAGCCTTGTTTTGGCATTTCAAAAAAACCTAAAAAATTTGTCAGCCTGGGTTCATGTACTGGCAGTCACCATGTGCTGGCACGTCACAGCAGGACAGGCTTACATGCCTGGGAATTTCCAGTATGCACAATGTTGCTTTTCATAAATGGGTTACAGGAGAAAGGTTTAATACCAATTTCCCCTTGCATTTTTTCCATTTCCATTTCTCCTGTTATGAATAGCACAACTCCTCCCACCCCCCACCCCTTCCAATAGCGTATAAATTAATTCCCCCAAGTTCACTTTAACCCGTGTCTTAACTCAATGGAAGCTGGGTTAACTTCTTGGATCTAAAACCAACTGTATTCACAAGAAGCCTTTCCATGGGCATGAACAGGTTTTGGGTCTGGATGGGGAAACCCACATGTGACACTGCAGTGCAATACCTCTCCCCATGCCTTGCTGAGCTACGCATACATCAGTAGGCGTGGGAGCAGGAATTGTCCACAATTTCACTCTCTCCAAGGTATAGGATAACATAAAGCTTTGTATCAGACAGGAAACTACACAAATGGGAGGCAGCAAACTCCTAGGTGACATGGCCAAAGTCTTGTGGCTGATGCCTCCAAGAGTTCAGAATCACTGCAGTCAGGTAACTTGGGAAACTATAAATTCATTGATTTTGCTAGCTTGGAGAAATTTTGTGAAACTACATTGTCTCTCAGTGACAAAACTGCAAAGTATCTGTAGTGGCATGCTCTGCAACTGAATGCCTGTTGTCCTTACAGACAGCATTCTGCACACATAACTGAGATTATCACATGCAAAAAGAACGAGGGAGGGGAAAACAAAATAGAAAAGTGCATCTTAGAAGTTACTTATGTTTAATGCTTAAAAGTCTGAATGCACAAACAATAATCTACCATTATAGAAGTACTGTTGGTCAATACAATGCATTAGAACTATGTACAATGACACAGTTTAGTATCAAAATCTTTCTACAATGTAGAGTATTACGAAACTGTTAATGACATCAAACACTAAGCACTTAAGACACCATTTTTTGCTACCACATTTGGAACTTCAATGAACAGTCCATTTTAACTTGCAGCATCAATCCATTTCTAGTATGAAATTAAGTAATTTTCTACTTATACAATAAGATTTATCTACACGGGTCTTTTGATTTTGATCCATAGCAGCAAAGGCACTGTACATCAGCAGATCCACAGACTTAAAGATTTTTTTTAAAGCATTCAAAAAAAAAGTCACAGATCATAGTTTAACAGCAACAACAACAACATAAAAAGATAACACGTTGTCTCTGGCACAATGGCTCAGTCTGCGTCCGTTTTAGGGACATCCAATCAAGACTTGGATTGAACTGCTGGCGAACAAAGCAAGTCCTTATCCCAATGAGAATCCATTCCTTTTTGTATGTCGGAATGAGTACTCTTGTAAATCCTACCTCGGAGGTCATTGCTTTTGTAGTTTGTATATTGGTAGGCATCCATTCTTATTTCAGTGCAGTTTCCAAAGAACATATCAAATATTTTTCATAATCTCTTGTAATTGAAAAATTGCCCAAAGACACATATCCCCATTTTCAAGGAAACATTGCAAAAGTTTCCAGAAGTTACAAAGGTGATTCTTTGAGGCAACTTATTGTACTCTCTACAATATAACAAAGAGAGGTGTTTATATTAAAAAACCTAGCTTGACACCAAAATGCTTTATGTTTATCAACAGAAAAGCATTGAGAACAAATCTGTACACAAGATGCTATATTAACATTGCAAATATATAAATTAGCACATTCTTACTTAAAGTGAATTTCATTTAGATGTGAACTGAATTTGCCATTCATCACAGGCATGTAGATTACTGGCTACAGTTTGCAATTTCCTAAGTTTCCAAGACTGCCTAAAATAGTTAAGATACAGCATCTTCCCACCAAATAATTATACTGTAATAACACTTAGAGGTCTCATCCAAGAACAGGACTAAAAAATATAACAAAGTTTATTTTTTTAAATAGAAACTACAAGTCTATTTAGTGTAACTTTAACTATCTCCTGAACATCCTTCTCCAAGATCCCCAATTCATCCACCTGCAAAAACACAAAGTATACAATGCACCTTTCAAACTAAAGCCGGGCCAGACAGCTTTATTTAGTCAGTTCATTGTTAGAAAGCCTTCTTTAAACAAAATAAATACATTACAGCTATAATACATAATTAAAGAGTCAAGTTCACTGTTAAGTATGCTTATTCCATCTTCTTCCAAGTAGATATCTGACAATTTGGTATCACAAGTTCTTAATGAGCATTCACAAATCAATAGCAAGTTAAGAAGGTAAAAATAAATTCCACAACTGTGATGAGCATTTAAGTTCTCAGTCTAGAACCAAAAAAAAAAGGAATATACAGCAAAGTGCTAGGAGAAGGAGTTCTGTCTGCATTCAGATTTGTCTCTAATAAATAACTTCATAGACTGTAGCTTTCTTGTCCCCAGAGCCAGTGACAATGTATTTGTCATCCACAGAGATATCACAGCTAAGCACAGATGAGGATTCTTTGGACTGCAAGAGAGGAGAAAAAAAAAAGAAAAGAAATTTACATCTTTCCAATCCTTCAATCCAGAAGGGCTTGAAGATTAATTGGAAGAATTTATAGAGAGGGAATACACCGAAAGCTCATTTAAATATCAGTACCGTAGTGGCAGCTTTTCTTACAAGACTGTTTCTCCAAACTTGTTCCACCTAAAGCTCTATGGCAACAAAAACCAGCAGTGGAAAGGGAAGTGAATGTTATGGACCTAGAGATAATCTATCAATCAAACAAAAAAAGAAGCAGTCCTTTCTATACACTTTATAAGCAATAAGCATTTATTAATATTTTATATGTTAGCTTTTGCATAAAAATAAATGAAAAGCCACCTTTTCTTCCCTCTTTCATCGTAAACCAGAAATCCATATGGAGAAGCACTACAAAGCCCTACCCACCCACAGATATGAAACAAAGAGACTCCACAGAAGTAACTGTATCTCCTCTCACTATTTCCCCAACACAGAAGACAAAAGCCTTGCACAAAGGAATTTACATTATCAGGGAGGATGCAAATACGAAAAGATACTGTGGTGGAATAGGATGCACAACGGTGTATAGCAGGTGAATGGGAGACAGGATACACTACGATGAAGCAGCTCTGTCTCTCCCAGCTTTTCTGCCTTTTCTGAGATGATGTGTACGTATTGTCACATTTTACTTGCTGTTTTAGTGCAGACTTTCTTTACATAACATATGTCCACATTCTTTTCTGTCTGTCACTGCAGGAGCTAAACACTTCCCAATCATGCTGTTTTTGCCAAGAAACCTCTGCTGCACTGCACAGGAAGTTTCTTTCTCTACCCCTCATTAAGAAACCTGCACTGCGGTTTTAACATCACTTCTAAGGGAGAAGCACTCTTGTTAGGATGATTTGGGCTTTCTGTGGGAGGTGGTCTGGAGCTGAACAGCCTCCACTAAGAAAACTCAGACCTCAGCTTTCTCATGTCAAGAAAAACTGTGCTGTCCCTAAAGGTGAAGACACAGCAGGTATCAGCACAGGTGAGACCTGACCATTTAAACCACAACACCAGTTAATTAAAATAATTCCCAGCCTAGAGGTACCTGTAGGTGAAAGAAGAGAAGGACATGCCAAAAAGACATGCTTTTCTTTAATGGCACTGAAGTACCATTAAAATTGGGCACAGATGGATTAAAGACCATAGAAAGGTTACAATTTCCAGTTACTCTCCACAGGGCTCCTCCATAAGGATACTGTCTTCAGCTCAGGAGTCTGCCTGTCCCATCCACTGACTTTACGTGTCTCATCCAAGAAAAATACATATGTTGAATATGACTTTCACTGTTTTAGCTATATTTTGGACGTTCAGTGAATGCTCACCTAATGACATGACTTGGGTACTGTATTACAGGAATATGCACAAGAAAGTGAGAAAAAAGGTAAAACCAATTTTGGATTAAAGGGCTACTTTACTGTAAAACCTACATTACTCAAATGTTAGAAAGGACAAAAGCATATCTGTCCTTAATTACAGACAAAGTCTTAAAGGAACATAGTAATTAGCCAAGAATTTCCATTTAAAAACTCCTTAAGCTAATGACAGACCCTGAGATGTGCAGCTCTACTGCACTGTAATGTATGTGGAAAATAGCTTTTAGGAGATTATTACCTGGAATATACTGGCTCCATAAGGTGTTCTCCAGGCATTAAGAAGATTATCTTTTCCAGTGCTTACAAACCATTTGCCTGCAACAGATTGTTTAAATGTTATCGTTGCATTTTGTTTTAAAGGAATGCACCCCAAGAAACAGATTAATCATAAAAACAATGCATTCATGCATTAATGGAAAACATATCCGAAGAACAGTCACATTTTCACCTGGTTGCACTACGAAGTTCGATCACAGCATAAGCAATTCACACAAAATAGCAGTCATACACAATTTTAAAAATAACTTTAATACTTAAATTTAACATCTAATTTTCAACTATACTCCTACTTCCATTTAAAGGTAATCTTGAATGAATTTCTCAGGAGGGAAAACACTGGCATAGGAAGATTTGCTTACCACAGTGAGCAAATTTGAGTGACAACACACAGCTCTCGTGAAGATGCAGCTGATACTTGTCTGGCTTAGTAACGTGCAGCACCTCAACGTTACTGTTCTCCATTCCTACTGCTAACCACTCACCAGTTGGACAATAACCCAGTGAGAAGATCTGGAATTAGCACAGCACATGCTTCGATCAGTAAAGGAATGAGCTTGAGATATTCAAAACCGACTTTTGCTACACTCTTAACACTATGCAAAAACACATTTTGGTCTACTACAGTTTTAAAAACATGATAATGCAATTACTACAGTAATCAAGATAAATTAGTTCATGTAAACAAAGCTCAATTAAAACTGTAATAGTAAAGCATTGAATCAAGCTATAAAAGTTAATGTCCCAGCTTATCTGACAGCATTTAAAAATATTTTTGTAAAATATTTTTGAACAAGAATTTACAAAAATGGCAACAGACTGCACACAGGAACACTTTAATCTGGCAATTGTTTTACAAAAAGGATTCTCCACTACTCTCATGGGAGAAGTACTAATCTGTCAAATAGTCATAATCCAGAAAGATGTTTAGCTTCCACTTGAAAAAAAAAAAAAAAAAAAAAAAAAGAGTGTGAAACTAAGTGAAAAATTCTTTGGACTTCTCTTTGAGACTGCTTTTTTTGCTTTTAGAAAAACCAAAACCCGAAGAACAAAAGTGCTTGTTTTAGAAAACCATGACAGATTTTTCTTAACATGCCAAAGCTTCTGAGGTTGAACCTGTGATGTGAAGTCATGTTGCTGTAGCTGTCTCCCTTCTCTGAGATCCCAGGATCTGACTGTATTGTCCAATCCTCCCGTCCATAGTTTGGTGCCATCATTAGAAATGTCAATACAGCTTGCTCCATCTGTGTGGCCCTGAAATTGCCTGAAAATATTGAAAATATTGTTCTCACAGCAGAAAGAGTAATTTCTGAGCATGTATACACAATACCTCCTTTTTCTTTCAGTCCCTGAGACCCTGAGTTTCTGTCCCATTAAAGACAACAGTAACGTAGATTCCAACAGCAACCTGAGATTAATACAAACTTTGGGACAACCATGTGAGTTTTGTGATGAATTGATGAAGCAATCAGGCCAGACAGCCAAGCACTAATTTGATTTCAAAAAGCACACTTTACAAGTCAGATACTCTGGGGATCTTTAAAAAAAAACCCACTATTCAACTGAAAATACCCTGCTCCCCGCAAAGGAATGTGGCATGATCATCAAAATTCACTTAGTTTAAGAAGAATCTGCAGATCACTGACAAAGTTGGAAAAAAAAGAGCAGTCAAAATGGGAACATCAGGGAGTAAAAGCCTGCCTTTACATGCTATACTGATATATTACATGTAACAACACACACACAGTGCAGTGCACAGAGAAGCTCTGTATGACTGGCTCCTAGCTTACTGTACATTACTGTTGAGCAGCAACCCATACTCCTAAGAGGTTAAGTTTGCAATGTGGTAATTTACACACGTCTTTACCCAAGACATATTTGCTGGAGCACTGATTAAAGAGATTGGAGTGTGAGCACAGTGTATTGCATAGAAACAAAGAAAACCATCTGTTCAAAGAACCTGCAGGAGTGTCAACACCAGCTGATCTTAGGAAATTATAGTTACGGGCCACTCAACAGGCCTGGAATTATGAAACTCTCAAAACCTATAAACAATCATATAGACTTCTGTCAAGGTATTACCATGGCTATTGCCTAGCAATGAAATACAGGAAGCAGCTATGCAGACTCCATGGAGAAAATAGCATAAGTACACAGAAGAGCACCTAAGGCCATGTCTAATTAATTCTTCACAACCTGATGATCCAGTTCTGTCAACCTACCTTACTAAAGTTTGGTTATGCAGATCCCACACTGCAATGTTCCCATCGCTACAGCAAGAGAAGCAGACCTTGGAATCGGGGCTGATAGCCAGGGCATAGCAAGCCGGAGCAGAAGACGTCAGCTCTGCTTTGATGCGAGGAGTTGGAGCTGCCAGGTCCCAAATGGATAACGTGCTGGCTTCCCCACCAACAATCAGGGTGCGGCCGTCGGGGAGCAATCTGCAGGAACGGATGTAGTTATCTCTGTTCTGTGGAGACAGAAGCCATCAAGAGATTACTCATGAGGAAAGGAAAACAGCATTAACATGAGAGCAGAAATCCATAAAAGTATTGTATTCCCTCCTGGTTTTAATGAGCCATTTATACTTATGACAATGATAAAGTGTATTAATGCCAGAAAATTACATGACATTAGGGAAGTACTTAAACTTGATCTACAAAATTCAGTAGTGAGAGATATTTAATCTTAATTAGCATCAAAATGCAAAGACCTGAACCCAGCCCAAAACAATTCAAGATAGCTGTGTTCGACAGCTTGTGTAGAAAGTTACATTTTCATACTCTGTTTATTTCAGCACATTAACCTCTCGGCATGGGGGAGTACCAAATTCCCTGCACACTCCCCCCCCCTCTGTTCCAGTGAGACTTGCTGCCACCATCTAGGAGATGTCAGAGGAAAATATTTGGGCAATTTTCTTCATTTGTGTAGCAACTTGTGTAGCAATTCGTTATATGTCTACATGTGCTCCACAGTTCTTGTTTTACTGCCTCCGTAACAAGAAGCAACATCTTACCAAGGACTGGTAAATGACATGAGAAAAGCTGCTAACCATGATTCATCTTGTTAGCACATTCAAATAATTTGTGAATAACACTCAGGGATATTTTTAATTGTCACATTAAGACAGGGCAATGCATTCACACATACACAAAATACCTGACACAATCTTCAAATATTCTCGGAGAATACAGCTGCAAGACAACAATTTTTAGCATGATAGGATATCAAGCTTTAAGATTGCCAACAAATGTCAAAGTTTATAAACAATATTTGCTGTGCTGTCTTTGATCTTTCCCCCTACCAATACAATTTTAGGATATTAAAGATGCTTTGATTCATTGGGGGCAAAAACCCCACAAGCACGACAAGGAACATACTTCAAACTCAATTCCAAAAGAAACAAAAAAATTACAAATGAAGTATCAAGCTTTGACACCAATGACAGCACTCAAATAGCCACTGGTTTTTGTACCTTAGCAGTATCATTTCAATCTTAACACAACCTGCTATCTTCCTTCACTGTCATATGCCCCTGTCCACCTACCAGGCAGTCCAGCTGAGAGACAGGGCTCTTGTTGCCAGGCTGGCTGATGTCCCAGACTTTGACGCACCCCTTCCCACCCGTGTACACGTGTCTCGTGGGGTTGCTGATGGTAACTGCACACACAACTTCCCCGTGGTTCAGAGTGTTGATCTGACGGGCATGGCGAGGGATTCCTGGACCAATGAGGGCATCAGGAGGGAAAGGAACCGGCTGCATCTGACCATCTGCACTTACATGAAATGAGTATGCTCTAAAGGGAAAAAAAAGAGATAAAGGGTGATTTAAGTTTTTCTTAAAGCCTATTTAAGAAAACCAAATTAAGGGTGTGTTTCCACTGCAGGCATTCAGATCGTGCACTCAGCTCCTTTTGCAGTATTTTTAATCATGTGAAGAAATTATTTATTTATCTATAGCATGACCCTCAAAGCATAAACTTAGGTACTCTTCTTTTCAAATGGAAAGTCAAGCACCATCTACCAATGAAATGAGCTTTTACAACTCATGCAATGATGATTTCTGGCATGAATGAGGATACATGATGCTACTCGTAAACTTGGGGCACGGGGAGACCACTGCATGCAGAGAAGGGAAGGAAGGTCGGCTCAGGGCCCCCTCAAGACAGAAATAGCTGGCCGGCTGCTGCAGACGATGGAGGGTAGTTGAGTGCCAGGGGACATTCAGCTGTTCCCTTACTGACTCTAAGGTGCAAACTTCAGCTTGACTGCTGCCAAGCTGCCCCAAACGCACTGCGGGTCCCGTGCCCCTTGAGGGAAACTGCCCAGCACTGTACCTAATAGTGCAGTGAAACCTCCACCATGAAGGAGTTAAGTCCTCAAGGCACAGTTGCAGCATCTGACATGACAGACCAGCAAAAATGCACTGGAATTTTTTTTCTTCTTTTGGGCTTGCTGTCTTTTTTTTTTTTTTTTTTTTTTTTTTGGTGCACCTGACACAACAACTACAAGCCCAATTTCTCTTGCCAGAATCAGGGTTCTCACTGAGAAACAATGTGTTGTGCGATTGCCAGTTATGCCACCTGTGAATAACCTATCAACAGCTTCATCTCAAAATGTTTTCCAGGGAGAACAGTTAGGTTGTGAAATTGTCTTGTTCTGAGATGCAACCTGACACATCACATCTATTACAAGGGTACAAACTTTGTAAGAGGGTTCACCTACATACACCAAGGTTTCCTTAATGTAAGGCTTTAATTTCATTAGAGCTAAAGAATCATCACAGTACTGATGAAAAATCCATTGTCACAATGGTGGGATGAGAAGAGATCACAAGAAAAATCATTTTATGAGAATACTTAGGAAGATCACTTCCTTAATTGTTGCTTCAAAGTCACTGAAGAAGGCAGTCTTCAGAATTCAACTACTGAATTTGTTATTTAAGATTCATAGTGCATTAACACCAGAACAATAATTTTCAGTGGGAAAAAATGCAACTGCGTTTTCACCTTTCTGCCCTATTCCCACAGCTTTACATGCTCTTCTTATCCTGCTCTCTGTTTCTCTTTCTGGCAGGTCTGAGCGACAGATCATATCATCATTCTCCATTTTTTGACACTAAACACATTCAGGAAAGGGTAGGACAGATTTCTGTGGTTGTCACAAGCAGCAAACTGCCTATATGAGTAGAACTAGGGTTCGATTATCACCACAGAAATCTGAAATATCTTCCTTGTTATCTCCCTAATTCCTGTTTGCTGCAGTAAGGTACTGAAAAAAAGCAGCCGATGGTCACCTGAAATTTCTAACAAAACAAGTGGAACTCCATTATCATTGTTTCTGATTTCTGTATGCAGTCACTCTCTGCAGGGCCATGTTGAGCACAGAGTGTATGACACTTACCAGCCAAAGTGATTTTTAGCATGCTTATAAAGTACACAGGGAACATATTTAACAATTACAGAAATAAAGCTTAGATCTGGAGCGATCTGTGACATTATTCTCACTCTATTCATTACTCCATATGAGCACGTGTGATTAAACTGTTGCTTTGCTGCTTGGTTTGGTTTTGTGGTGGTTGAGTGGGGCTTTTTTTTGTTCTGAAAACTAACACTGCATGTTGCTTATCTGAAGTACTCTAAATATCTTACAAATATCTGACAATATAAACACCTGGCGAGAACTTTTTCTTCTTTTCACATCAGCAACCTTTTCCATTTATATATTGTACAATCCTCAGTGTTTTGATATATCTCCAAAGTGAAAAGAGAGTTATTAGGGGACAGATCCTGACGTGCCACACACTGCCCGCTCCATTTCGACAGACACTCAACAATGCAGAGAACTTACACAAGTTTCGCTCTAAGGGCAAAGGAAGAGTAAATGAGAAAGTAACAGTCCTGAATGATAGCTGTGAAAAGTACCACACTTAAGATGAAGAAAAATGAATGCAATCATGCTAAAACAACCACAGATTTCAAAGGTTTCAGGCCCTACGGCAGACAAATGACAGTTACATTTAAATGTTTAAAACAGTCATCAATACGCCAACAACATTCAAAAAACCTTGGAGATGCACCAAAATCGAACAAGTTTGATTTCAGTTTGCTTCACATTTTATTCCCCCCCCCTCTCTAACATGAGTGAGACGTGAGCAGGGAGGTCTCTGCACCCCTGGTATTGCTGTTTCTCAGACCACAGCAAGCAAAGGCTGGTAGAGCCCTTCCTTCCAGCTGACCGACTCAACCAAGGATGAACTTGAACCCAGAGAACATTTGAACATTACATCAAGACATTTCTAAGTGCCCGCTGCAGGTGTAGGATGGAGATCTGTGCCCCACAGAATTTTCAACACAAACAGCTGGTCCGGAATCTGCAGTACACCAATTTCCAAACTCACCTTACACAGCCAATTACCAGGGTGGCGTAACAAGCAGAAAAGTCAACTTGAGGTGGTAACTAGTGTGTGATGTCTGAGAGATCTGGATATGGTTTATGATTTGTGTGACACATTATGTACAAAAGGAGTTACAGGCACTAGGACTGATCCCTTGTCACCATGGTATGTTATTAATCCTGCATGTCTGCAAGCTCAGTGGCACATTAAGCGTATGAATCTACTCACATGCATTCAAGTGTGTGACTACCCCCCAGCCATTCCTCCACAAACATGTTCATACATATGAGAGTGAGAGAAGGAATGGCACAAACATCCCCTGACCTTCAAACGCTCCAGTATTAGCTGGCCACAGTTTCCCACAAGTGTCACGCAAGAAGTGGAACTTGAGGACCCTTACATAAAATCTGGATCAATATAGTTTGCATCACTGTTTTATTTTTCCCCTTCTCTAACTCAAGAGGGATGTGAGCAGAGTGTTTTTCATATCTGTGTAATTCTTTTTCTGAGGCTCACAACAAGTGAAGCCTGGTAGAGCAGGTGACCTTTTACGGTCAGTTCCATCAAGGATGAATTTGAACATTATGATATGATAATTCTTGCCAGTATTTTCAATCTAAAAGAATATTTCAGTGTTCCTTTCTCTGCACACTGCTGTTTGTAGCAGCTGATAAGTTTGCAAGTAATGGCAAGGCTTTTGTGAACAAATAAATCATTTTTTTAAACTGAGAAGCAGAGTACAGTAGAGATGGAAAGCTGAGATCCCATTCCAGTTTGCATTTCCACATAAGACCAACCAGTCAGATTCAGCATGTAACTCCTCGAACTTCAGCTCCTTTTTCCATTTATTTTTGTCTCTTTTACTCTATACCACCCATTCCTTGTCAGCTGCTATTAGTCTTCAAAACAAATTTACAAATGCAACTTTAAGATTAAACTGTGTTTCTCCTGCCTTTGCCAAATAGCTATATTTATTCCTATTCACACAACAGTTTTCAGTAGCTAAGGGGAATTCCAACCAGCAAGGGAACACAACTTCAACAGATGATTGACTTTTAAAGTTGAATGTTTGATACTCACGGTTTTCCTCCTGGGATGCCTGTGAGGTTGGGAGGGATGCCTGGGACTCGCATGTGATGATGTGGATCAAAACCAACCTATAGTTTTCCCCAAGCAAAACAAAAAGGTGTATTAAAGATAGAGGAGGGAAAGGAACACTGTTTAATTCATGTTCTCCACAGCATACTCCCCAAATTACGAAGAGACTGAACTACATTTAACCCTGCAGGTCCTATATTTAATATAAACTGCTCTCAATACCAAACGCACTAGAGGCAAACACTTACCACTGGAGATCTCCCATAAGCCGCCGCCGCCGCTGCTGCTGCAGCTGCTGCACTCATTTGAGGGGAAATATTGTGTAGACCAGCATAGGCAGCTCCAGGGCTGGTCAGCTCCCCATTCATACCAGCATGTGGCACGATCCCAAATGGAGTAGGATAAGGACACGGGACTGCCATAGGTGTCCTCAAACCTGAAGCTATTGAAAGGAAAAAGAGAGAAGTCACACAGCCAGCCCAGACCCATCAAATGATATGTGAGTATGGCAAACAGTAAAATACACACACACACACTGTATTAAAGTGCTGAAGAACTAGCTCAGCATCCAGTTTAAGCAGCTGTAATATACTGTAGATTTGAAGGGAGCCTGGTTAGGGACGAATGGCCACTGTTTCACACCACTGAAATACACAGACACTAACCTAGCGGGTCCACACCTGGGGGTTTGCCAGGCACTGGCCTCAGTCCGGGAGTGGAGTTGCTGCCTGGAGTTGGGGCATCAGTCCGTGGAGTTGGGGTATTTGATTTAGACACAGGAGTGGTAGATTTCTCATTCTAATCACCAAAAAGGAAAAAGGAAGATAGTTTGTTAGTTATTTTAGTTTTTTAGTGTCGTGGTTTAACCCCAGCCAGCAACTAAGCACCATGC